TCTAATTCCTCTTGTTTATTCCCCATGCTGTGTGCATTTGCATAGAGGCATTTAATTTGGGCCCCCGATAAAGCTGTCTTACTGGCTGGGGGGGCTGGGATATCTTTTTGGCTGCTCCTCTTGACCTCTTCCTGTGATCCTTCTCCAGGCTCTGGGCATCTATTGCTAGATATCTGTATATCTCAGGAGAGCTTTTGGAGCCAGGGAGCTTGGAAAAAGGTCACAACTTCTTGTTTGAAGGCATCGGTAAAGATTGGCTGTGAGCCGTTTTTTGCTTTCTACTCCTAATTAGAATTTCTAGCACCTTTTAGCTCTGAAACAAACGAACAGACAACGCCACCAAACTGTCTGGGGCATTTCTAATTTCCATTATCAGAGTTTCTTTTTCACAGTAAAAGTTGCAATTCATCTATTCTTCAAATAAGCAGTAGAACTGAAGGATATGCATTTAATACCATTTACTTTCTTCAAACATTTTACAAATACAGGAACAGACTGAAAAAATATCTTTAAGATTATACGTAAGTAGGTTATTGAAGTAGAGTTAGAATGGCATATTTAATAAGAGAAACATTTTTCGTAGATAAAAAGAACTCTCTAAGACAGTTAAATTCTCCAAGTTGAAATATTAAGATTTCCCTCCTGATTTAAAAAGAAAAGTGTGTTTATCTAAACAATTTTAGGAAGTAAAAAGGTGAAGTCTTAAAATATCAGACATGGAAGTCTTACATTTTACTAGAGTTTGATATATTATGAATTTTTGCTTTTCTTTAGGATTGGAAGAAAAATAAATGAAATGTGGGGTAGTTATCTGTAAAAATGAAGTAATAATGTATATATACGCAAATATCTTTCCAAGACTACTCAAAGTAAAAAAATCATTGCTGCTGCTGCGACTGGATTTATTGATTAGGTTTCTCTGCAAAGTGAAGATTATACTAAGAATGTAAAATACATTTATGAGTTTTTTTCATATGAAGATAATTAAAATTGACAGCTGTAATTTCATTGTCTATTGTTCTTTCAGTTAATTTTTTTCAAATACATGTTTATCAGTATTGAATTTAAAATCATTACTGATTATGATTTAGTTTCAGTTTTATTTTCCTTGTGAAAGACTGACTTTCTCTTGTTTATTATAAAACTGCCATGCTATTGTCAATATTTTCAATAAGAGTTGGATGATTTTTATCACATATTTTCAAAGAACTATAGCAAAACAAAATGATATAGCAATTTTTAAGATTAGAGCTTTACTGTTAATTTTTGGTGCTGTTGAATTTACAAATACAAAAAAAATGAGGTTCTGTTAGGCAGGCATGAAAGAATTATCTGTATTTTTTTATTGTATCGTTGTAATACGGAAGATGTAAATGATAAAATAATTATGCTGTATGTATTTGTGTTTTTTCCTTGTTTGTTGATCACTCTCCTTCTTATTTGTGCTTTTTCTTATTTGTGTTTCTAGACCTTTTAACCCCAGAGCTTGTTCTATTTAATATTCTCATGCACGTTTTATAAATACCTTATGCTTAAAATTTCAGATTGAAGCTCATTTAGATACACTTATAAATGAACAGGCTTCCTACGTGTTAACAAGAGCTGGTCTAAGTTACATATATAACTCTGTGCAGCAACACAAACCGGAACAGGTAAGCTTATATAATGTACAGGTTGAGGAGGTACTGCATACTTGCCAACTGGAAGAACTTTGGCACTAATATTTTTGCAAATCAAGCTTCCTCTGAAAGCAAAAGCTCAGTAATATCTGTTGATTTTTCACACGGGACCAGGACTATTAGACAAAAGCACCTTGCAACTACAGATTTCCCCTACACTGTATGTTCAGCAAGCCTAGCAGGTTTGGTATGCAACAGTCCTTCTGTGCAGCTTATCTGTGTACCATCAACAGGCTCCATACACCACAGACATCCTGTACATTCTCAGAATAACTGTATAGGTAGTTTAGTATGCCTCAGAAAGTGTCAGAGTCAAGCTGGCTTTAAAACACAAATACTGAGTCTGTATACCACTTCCATGACACCTAGAACATACTGGACCTACTGTGCATGTAGCATTCAGGTTTCTTCCGTTGCATGCTATAGCACCTTACATGGAGTGGATAGATACCCTGCATGCATTAGATAATTACTGCTTTTTTCTTCTGTGAAAATTTGGCAGATAAGTTTAGTAGTAATTTGAAATAATTTCTTCCTTTGTCCTTATTCATTGCTCTAGCTATTCTAGCACCAAGGCGGTGAGATTCTGAAAGTGAAAACTTGAGATTTCTTAGAGTGAGCTGAAAACTGGAATTCAGAGCTCACTCTCTTCCTTTCTTGTGAACTACAGTTGTTATGTGATAGGTGTTAATACAGCCCCTCTTTTCCTTCAGCTGTGCCTATGTCCTTTTGTGATCTTTTGTGAAGGTGAAGAACAGTGTTTTCTGGAGAAAGCAGAACTCTCTTGGAGAGCTTTATGTTGTTTCTTCAGCCAATAATTTTGCATAAAGTGCCCAAACTCAACAGATTTTTATGTATAAAGATGAATAAATAAATGTATAAATAATCTAGTTAATAACTCAGCTTGGTTTCCTATTCATGAGCCTATCTCCTGTTCTGAAACAAATTTCAAATCGACCAGGGCAGATTGTTAATGGAATGTAGCAATTTTCGTTTATATCTGTCCAGCTGCCTGGCTGCAGAGATGACGTTGTCACTGGATTTGCTAAGGGGTTAGGCAGCATATATATATACATATATACATCGTAATGCCATATAGCACAGATGATTTACTGGGAAGCAGGCTTGAATTCTGCATGGTCCCAGAACGGATGAATAGAGGGAAGTTGTCCTCTGTAATTCTCTAATGTCAAGGGAATGTGGCCAGTTGCAGTTCAGTTTTTATCCTATACCTTGTGGAAGGCTTTTTTGGGGGTTTATCATTTAATGGTGAAGAAGGAAGAAAAGGACTTGACAGGACATAGTAAGAACTCAGTATTCTGAGTTTTTAATTTAAGAGAGCTGTAGAATACAAATGAACTGTTACAGCATTTCAGTATTGATATGATGATTCAGTTTTGAAACATTTGAGATCTTGTAGCAGGACCAAATAACAATTTAGTCATGAACTGATTGTAGAATTTATTATTTCTTATCTTTTTCCGTATGCTAGTATGACCTTTTTTGTTCCCCCCCATTGACTACTGATTCTTAGGGTCCTCTTTCAAGTTTGCCAAGTATGGATTCTGTGTCCCTGAAGGTTGCAATGGTAAGCATTTTACAATTTCATATTATGTTGGTGGTGCTGTGACATGGGAAAGAATACTATTAATTATGTGATGTAGTAGATATTCATCTAACCAGTCGTACTCTTTAAGAATAGCTAAATTACATGTGTGGGAATACTTTCTTCATTTGTAGTAATTTGACCACTGGAAGTAATAAATACGTAAATTATTTATGAATGGGTAGTAATAGAATATTAGTTTCTAAGCCTTGAGAAACAGAACTTTACTTACAAGAATGCTATCCCATGAGTCATCTTAAATTGCTAAAAGCAAATACTTAGCTCTAATTAGTTTTAATCACCAAAGTTTCTTTTTTGCCTGTATGCTTTGAAATAGAGATTCTGCTATCATTTATAATTTTAGTCCTAAGGCTTTGATTTTATGCAAATAGTTCAGCCAAACTTAGAAGTTAGGTGCTGGGCATATGTCACAGTTATATTTTTTAAGTTGAAAGCTACAATATATTTTAAAACAAATTATAAGCTGGTATTTTTTCTTAGAGTGTGTGAAGGCTATTTTGCATAGAGATAGCAATATCACAGTTCAGTAGGTAATAATATATGATCTGTCACTCTTCTTTCTTAGCTAACTTTAGCTTTATTCTGAAAGTTTAACTGTAAATAAGGCCCACTTATCCAGCAGTACATCTATAACCCCACGAAAAAAGGTCTTCTAAAATAACTTTTTTTTAAAAAAAGGTTTTTTAAAAAATTGGATGTTGAATCCATCCTAATTGTGTCAGTGTAGCCTCTTTTCCTCTGTTCAAGTTTTAAACCAGTGATTCCCAAGTTGGTTGGATGAACAGAGCTCTGGCACAGAGCACTCGGTGGTTTACTCAGATCAGCATGCATTCTTATCAATATTTATAAATTTTGCATTTAAAATATCTTCTATTTATCATGGTCTTGTAGACCAACAAGGAATTTAAAGACTGCAGCTTGGGGACCATCTCTTTAAATTATATATATGTAACTCTGTTATCTATAGTGGTACATAATAATTTCACTTGAATAGTTAGGGAAGAATCCAACTGTTTTATTTTCTTCATTGCTTTGTTTAATGTCTGCTTGTGTGAACACACTTTAACCAGAATAGAACGCAGTACGCTGAAATCAAACCCACATAAATCCTATCTATCAGCCTAATCTGTTGGCTTCCCAGGATTTAAACCATTTGGAGGGAGTAGTTGCAGGCAGATTCACTGCCTCCCAACTTAACCTGAAAGTTTTCTAGGTGCCAGCCTTTTAAGTTGTTCATATGTGCTTACAAATGCTGTTCTAGTAAAGTCTGTACCTCTCAGCTAAAGCTCCCTTGCTTTCCGAACAAGGGCAGATAACCCCAAAAAGTTAGTTCGTGAGAACTGTGAGTGACTTCATTAGTCATTTGTGCCCACTTTTTGCACATTTAAGTGATGGATGGATGTGGATTTTAGGGTTTACCATCTTGAGAAGATTTATCCGGTGTTCAGGAAGGTTGCCAATCATTAGATAAAGTTGCCTAGGGCCTTGCCTGAGTGAGTAATTCCAAGGATGGAGATTATACAGCTTTTCTGGGTAACCTGTTCAATGTTTGATGACACTTTTCTGGGTAACCTGCAGTGTTTGATGACACTCCTGGTGAGAATTTTTCCTCTTACTGTCTAATCAGAATTTTCCTTAGTGTAATATGTGTCCATATTGTTTTCACCTGTGAGAAGACATGGTTCCATCTTCTCTATAGTCACCTGTTTGATCATAGAACCATAGAATGGTTTAGGTTGGAAGGGACCTTTAAAGATCATCTAGTCCAACCCCCCTGCCATGGACAGGGACATCTTTCACTAGATCAGCTTGCTCAAAGTCCCATCCAACCTGGCCTTGAACACTTCCAGGGATGGGGCATCCACAACTTCTCTGATAGATAGTTGAAGAGAGCAGTAGTGTTCTTTATTGGTGTTTTCCTCTCCAAACTACTAAAATCAAAGCATCACAATTTTTTTTGCTATATTATATGGGGGAGGAGAAGTAGGCCTAGAAGCAGTTCAAGGAGCCTGAACTAGGTCCCTTGCTCTTGTTTTTCCCAACATAAGTGCTCATTAGATTATTAAGCAGTGACTCCCTGCCAAAAAGTAAAAAGAAACATACAACATACCTAACGTGGACAGACTAGATTTCTATCTGGAGGCTACTGTATTCCCTCTGCACTGAATAGACTAGGTCTCATCTTCAGAGGTGCATGCATACGTGCACCAGCTGCATAGGAAACTTAGATGGATAATTAATGGCAGCTGAATTCTCATTATTTGCCCCTCCACCCGTACTCCTCAGAGTCAGAAACTGAAAATTTTGGTGACAGAGGTGCTAAAGTTAGACATTTGGTTTGGACTATTAAGTTCTACCTTAAACATTTGTATATTATGTTAGGCTCTATATTAAATATATAAAAAGAGAAAATTTTATCAAATAAGAAGGTGCCATTTTCATGTAATCACTTTTCAGAGATCTGTGGTTTTACCTATTTTCATATAACAGCAAGTTCTTAATACGTTGATCTCATATTCTCCTTTTCCCCCCTGACCCCTAGGCTCAGTTTGATCGCTATCTGTCTGCTCCAGATAGTTTGTTGATGTCCCAGCTGAATTTCCTTCTGAGTGCCACTGTGAAGTAAGTACCTTACCTTTGAATTTCTATTGTGCCTGCACAATGATCAGAAAGATTAGTTTGATTAGGTTTTAGTGGATCATGATGAGAATTCAAGTTACCAGCTGTGATCGTATTTGTATTGTTCTTCAGGTCACAATTCAGTTTTGTTCTGACTCTCTTCTTTTTGAACAAGCAGTGAGGAATATGTAATTCTGTAACTTTCTGAAGTAGTTACTCTTGATTTAACAGACACCATCAAAATGAATTACATTCATTTATTTTGAACATGTTCTGCTGTGTCGGCAGTTTTTTGTCAACTTAGTTGTAAATTGTTTTAGAACTACTTTGTAAGCATTCCAAAGACAGATGAAATATGTAATTCTTCTCTCAAGATTTCTTTTATCCCCACTGCTCCGTCAGGTCTAAAATTTTCAACTTTGTTATTTTCTGCTGTAGAGTATTGGCATTCTGTCTCAATGAATATTGTGCTGAGATTACCTTACTTTTCACTTAATATGATTTTTTTATAGTGATTTCGTCTTTGAAGCGTGGAAGCGAGAACTTTATTATTTATCTCTTCTCTTGTTTTTTGAATATAACTGAATCCTAAGGCTAGGGAAAGTGCCACGAATTTCTTTCGAATTAAATGTGAACCATATGAAGACATTTTGTAGTACTTAAACTCAGAGAATTACATGCTGCACTGATCAAAAACTTTTCTTGACATTATTTTTCACACTTCTGTGAAGAATGCAGGTTACAGAATATACCAGAAATTGAGACAAGCATATCACATTTTATGTAATGCAACAATATTTGGAGTCTCATTACTAGTACCTGTCCTCAGTGGGATTGTATTACAGCATCTTGCAATTAAAAAATGACATATGTAAAGGGAAAAATATTTATTGTTGGGAATTTATTAGAATAGAATAGAACAGTTCAGTTGGAAGGGATCTACAACTATCAGCTAGTCCAGTTGACAGGTTCTCCTGCTGTATTGCTCAAGTTCTCCTCATCCAAAGACTTCCAGTTTCATGCCATACACCTGGTGCATGGCTTGGCACGGGAGGTGTTGGTGCTTTTCAGTAGTTTGTTGGCTCTCTCTGCTAGGGTTACTGTTCCCGCAGCTCAGCCAGCAGAGCTGACCCTGTTGTGTGAGGGCTGTTCTGCTCCAGTACAGATCAAACAGGGTAGCTTCAGCAGTAATGTCAGCGAAGCATTGCAACTTCTGCTTCTAGGTGTCAAGCTATTAAACCTGTATTTTAGCGCTTGGTATTTTTTTTAATGTAGGTCTATTTAAAAATCGTAATAACAGTAAATGTATTTTGAAAGCCTCAATTTTTCACTGCTAACACAGAAGCAATTTTTCAGAGGTAGACTTTATGCTACTACAGAGACTCAGGCACAGTGAAATTACTTTTGACTTAATCATTTTTTCTGTCAGATGAACCAAGATAAACCGATCATGTATGCACTCTTAGCCTTATCCCATTGATAAGCTTTTTAAACCTCTCTTAGCTCAATTTAAGCCAAATTCATGTTATCTTGCAACAGTGGGCAGCTGAGAGGTGAGAGGGGAGCCTGTGTGAGGATGATTGCTGTAGCTGCTATAGCTCAGCTAACATGCAAGGGTTTATTAACCTGCTGTAACTCAATGATATAGGTCAGGTTCTGCTCAGAATTTAAAAAAAAAAAAAAAAAAATCTGTTAGCCCGTTAGCCTTCAAACATGTAGCTTTAAACACAAGCAATCCTTTTGAAGTTAAGGTACCTATTTATGGAGATGCATGCTTGTAGAATCATGGTCTTAATATTTTCTGTAGTAAACAAACCTTCAAAATTCAAAATTTTCTCAAAATTCAACCAAAACATTTAACCAGTACTATAATTTTAATCTCTGGCTATAGTAGTTGAAATTTTCAAGTTTGTTTTGCAGACGTTTGATGTCAATTTTGAAGACATCTTGAAATCACATAATTGTGATCCACTGTTCCAACGGTTGAGCTGGAACCCCAGAATTCTTTCATTCTCAAAATCAGACCACATGCTTTTGACAAGGGACCAGTGTATCGTATACTCACTGGCAATATCGTTTAAGCTTTACAGCTATGAAGAACATTCTGTCCAACATTTGCCAGTACATGCTCTTGTCTTTCAAATTCCTTTGCTCATTTAAAAAGTTTTAAGCTATTTATTTATGTGGTTGTTGGTCTTGAAAAGCTCTTTTCATTTGTGTTGGATCACAGAAACTGAATGCTGGAATTACTATTTTTAGAAAGTGCTGCCATTTGTGTTAGTGATAAAGTGTATCATGTTGTTATGGCAACTGAAATCCTAATGTACTGATTAATGACACTGACATTATTTGATGGAAAGACTCATTTGATGCTGTTCAGTCCTCTGGAATATTTTAATGAACTTTTTCTTTTAATTTAGTATTATTTGATGCAATACAATTAGTTTTATACAAATTCTCTGTGCAATACTTTCTTAAAAGATTGTCGTGTTACAGTAGCTTAGTGATCCCAGACTGTGATCAGAGATAGTTGTTTTACCTGAACACCTTGAGTATATTTCCCTTACAATAGTGTTTCTAGATTTGGTATTATAAGGCCAGTCTTTTTTTCAGGTATTTTAATAATCTAATAATATTGGCAGTTGATCCTGTATATTGAAAAACCAGATACTGTCCATCAGAATAAAATGCAGGTTTTGTCTCTTAATCTTCTTTCTCATAGCTTCCGTTTCTTAATATTTCCTGAAAAGACTAAGTTCTATGCACTTGGTCTTTGAGATTTCTTTAACTTGTCAGTTCCCAAGGGTTGGTGAATTCAGTCCTGATTTTAGTGGATGCAGTTTTGGTGTCTCTGTTCCTTTGCTGCGTATTACAGCAGGGCTGAATCTGGATTCATGGTTACCTTGGTTTCCTCAGCTCCTCCTGGTGTTCCATTTGCATGGGTTTGGCTGTGAAATAGTTGTAACTACTGTTTCTGATAGACAAAAATGCATCTGCAACTGTAAACACATCACCGTGGTGATTAAAGTAAACTGATTCAATGGGCAATGTAAAATAAAAATATTAGTTTGTCTTCAAAAAATATTAAACTTTCCAGTTAAATTTAGCGTCCAGTCTCTGTGCATTGTTACTCATTTAGATCCAGAAAAATAACAGGACGCAGACTTCACAGTGTTGTTGGTAAAAGGCTGTAGCAAGTTTTAAATCTCTGACCACTATCACTTTCAGCTCTTCCTTTTTGACCGATTATGGAATCAGGTGCTGTCAAGATAAGCAAATAGGATATATTTGCCAATAGATTGAAAAAAATGTGGGTATTTACAAAGGACAGCGAGAAGCCACAGGAGGTAGAAGGTAGATCACTAAGATTATCAGTCTTTTAAAAGATGCAGGGGAGTGCAGGTGAAAAACTAATGTATGCAAATTAAATCCTTCTACTATTTTTCTCATGATTGCAGAAATAAAGAAGCTAATTTCTTGGTTATCAGGATCATGTATGTGAGTTTATCTATGTACGACCCAAAGAGATGAATAAGCCTTCTTTTGTTTTAAAACTTTAAGCTGTTTTCACAGTTGAAGTAAAAGGGCTTTTTAATGTAACTGACACTGATTTTTAATGTGTATTTTTAGCATATATCTTTAATTCCTTGTAATTCCTGTAGCATATATCTTTAATTCCTTTAATTCCAAGGAATTAAAGATACAGTTATATTCCCTATGATTTGCAAATTATGTTTCCGTTTTGTTTTTTAGAGAGCAGATAATAAAACAGTCAACAGAACTGGTCTGCAGAGCTTACAGTGAGTTATATGCAGCTGTGATGGATCCTTCAAATGAATATAAGGATCCAGAAACCATACTACACAGATCTCCTCATCAAGTTCAGGCACTTCTTTCATAGTGTTGCTTCCCCCAGATTTATCAGAATCCATAATTCTGTATTCGTTGAGTATTTGCATCGAGTTATTCTTCTGTTTTGAATTGTGATGTGTAACTGTATAGTTAAAATATGTAGGAATGCGGTTTTGTTTAATCTGCTTGGCAGAAGTCTAGTCTTTCCTGTGTCTTTGAATACCTTCTATAGGCCGGAAAATAGAATTTAGATTAAAAATTATTTTAATGTATTCCTCTAATGGAAATGGACCTTGACAATATGCAATCTCTTTGAAAAGGGAGAAAAAAGCTTTTTTCTCTCTGTACATAATCCTTTCAACTAGAGGTTGAACCGGTGTCTTTTACGACCTCACCAATATTTTTATTTGCTCTTTTCCCTGTTCTTTCACTTTTTTTCTCAGCCTATCATCAGTAAACGCTGATAACTGTAATTTTAATACAACTGGTATACTTTCAATGTCTCAAGTGCATCACTTCTACAGCTCATAAATCATTTCAGCATATTTGATGCTGTTTTTCAAATCCTGTTGATTAAGTCTTTGAGGCAAAATTTGTGTGCTTTTTTAGAATCCATTATCGTTGTTGGTAGTTGTGGTATTTTCTGTAAGAAAAAGAAATATTTGAACTACATGCATGTACATAACCTGGAACTTAATGTTTTATGTTATTTGTATAATTTTGTTTTACTGGAAGGATTTTGTTTTAGTGCAATCGTTATGTAGGAATCCTTATATCAGTTGAAACTTGTTGATCTCTTATGGCTGGGACCAGCAGCGATGTAGGTTAGGAAAATGGTTTGCACAGCAGTATGGCCATTCCTCCTTCACATGTACAAGTTTCTTGTTTTGCCTTTTTTTAAGTACAGAAAAAGCCCATCTGCTCTAGTACAAGCATTTATTCAGTTAATAATCCACCAAGAGATTTTCATGGTTTACATTTCTGCAGTGGTGCTCCTAAAATTTATAGTTAAGTTCACCTGTGGCAGCCACCGGTAGTCCTGGGAATTATGTGGGAAAGCAGGGTGTGTAGTTGTTCTAGGCTGATGCGTAGAAAGCCGTGAATGAAGGTTTCATTTCTTTCCTCCTTCAGTGCAAAGCTGAACCTGCTCTGTTTAGAAACCCTAATTATATAGAGTGTTATGATCTAGGGGGACCTTTGCTTCCAGTAAAAGAGGAAAATAGATAAGTAGGACACTTGTTCTCTGTTGGGCCTTATGATAATTTTCTGCAAGTTCCTTAAGCTTATTCTTCCTTTAGAAAAGCCTTGTTACAGAGAAACCTTCAGGAAAACAAAAAATTAGTAAAAGGAATTTGGGGTGTTTTGGGTTTAGGTTTTTTGTTTTGTTTTGTTTTAAAGGATAATTTAAGATAACTGTTTCATTGGAAGCATTTAACTTTTTTTTCCTCTTTGTTGTTGTATGGGTGCCACAGAGTTATTACAGTTGCCTGAGTTTACACTCATGTTAGATGTGGCTTATTTATATACATCAAGGGGGAGATGAGCAGTCATTCATATTGAATAACTTACATATTTTATTTTTATCAGTAATAACATTCCCCATATGAAATATATACTTAGTGGCAGCCAAGTCTGCAGTTTAGTGTATGCTTGCAAAAGAGCAAGAAATAGAGAAGAGCAGCAGCAATACATTTTAGTCTCTCGGAAAACTCATTGCACAAGATATATCCAGTGTGCTCAGAAAGCAGATTCCTTGGTAATACCACAATAAAGCAATAGCTCCTTTTCCAAATGGGCATAATTTGTTGGTATAATAGAAAAAGATTTGAAAGTGTAAGTGTCCCTGGAGTTCTTGGATCAGGCATAAATTCTTCTGTAAATGTGAATGTTAGATTTATTCTGTTTAAAAACTCCAGACCTGCAAGACGAAAAATTCTAGAACCTTAGCAAAGCTCTAATGGAAAATTACACTCTTTTACTAGGTAAGGCACTTTAAATTACTAAGATTTTGCATTACCATAGTATACATTCAGAAAGCTGTTAATTGTTGTTTAATAATGTTAATATTGCTTAATATGCCTATAATTATTATCTAATATATGAAAATTACATCAGTTGTGAAAGGATTATAAATTAGCTTGTTATTAGATTAACATACTCATAAGAGTGAACTTTTTCCTGAAACTACACTCAACCTCAGTCTCCAATAATCAGTCAGTAGTTTGCATGAGGATTAGTAAGAAGTTGCTTCCTACCTTTGAGTCCATGTAGAGACTTATACATGATTTTATCTTCTCTTTAAAAATGCAAAAGCTATAAAAGTTGTATGCAAAAATTAAAGTCAATCACTAATTTTGGTGTGTGCAATTAAAGTAAATGACAGCGGGTCACAAATGAGAAAGGACGTCAATAAAAGCATTTGATTTACTGACTTCTGTCTTCCATGTTGTTATTTCCTCTTGCTTGCCTTCCTAAGAGGAGGAAGGAAAAGGTGATTAGATTTTGACCTGCCTTTTCTAGCTTGGCATTTCTGACCCTTTTATTTTACAAATTCCCAGGATTTCCACACCACGAACTGTGAAGCTGCAGTCCTCTAATTGCTCAGTTAGATGGATGACCTATAAGCGTTGCGGTAAATGGAATCATTCTGGGTGTTGGTACTGGGTCCGTATTCAGACCAGTTACTGCAGGTCTGGCTTGAGCATCGCAGTGCATGAAGAGATGCCCACCTGGCTGGGCTGAGTTAGTCAGCGCTTCTGCTGTTGGTCCTTAAACGCGTTACATGGAGGGCCGTGCCTTCAAAGAGTGAGTCCGTTATTCTGTGCTGGGCAGCAATGTGCTTGGGAAAACTGGGTGAAGAGAGTGTTTGAATACTGCCTACAGTAGGCAGCGCTCGCGGCATTTGACACTCTGACAACCCAATTCTGAGAACAGATGCGTAAAAGGCCTCTTTTTGCATCGTCGTCTGATTCAAAGAGCACTTTCATGGGAAGCGGGAGAGCTGGGTTCTGGGCCAAAGGAGTTTGGAATCGACATCTCCTGCCTTCCTGAAGAGCGTGCAAACCCTTGGCTGTTGTGTAATATGAGATGGGGCAGCTCTGTTTCTTCTTGTTTGAATTTAGCAGCTGTGCATAGATCAATGCAAAATATGGGGGGCATGATACGGAATAAGCAAGGAGCAGTTTGGCCCTATGGCATGTATGTGAGGGCCCTCCTGAGGACTCCAAGCTCTAGATCTTCCTCCAGTTGTTACTGGAGGGACCGTATCTTTCACCTCCAATACATGAGTCCCTGAAACAGAGCCAGGATCCCAGGACTTTATCACCCACAGAATATCCAGCAAACAGCAAGATACAGAGTTGAGTTTGGGTTGGTCCCAAGGTGGTTCATCTGCACTGGTGACAATGCCTCTGTGTTCAATCCTATGTGTACAATTTTCTCCTTCCCTCTTTATAAACATGCACACCGCTATGGAAATAAAATATAAAAGTTGTTTTAATTATAGCAAGCACACAGCAGCCCAGCCACAGTGATTTTTTGTTCTCTACTATAGGAAAATAGAAGCTTAAGAAGGTTTGGAAAGGTGATAATACATTTGTTTTGCAGCATTTCAGAGTGCTCCTTCCTATTCTCTGAGATTTATGACTATAGCCCTGCATTTTGTCTGTTAATAGACTCAATTATTTTTATTAAAATTTTTGAAGTGTGTGTTGGAGGAAAATACTTTCAGAACCGCTAAATTTTTCCATTCATTTAAAAAACTCTATCTGTTCTTTGATCCCTTTTCTTGCCTTGCTGAGTCACTTTGCAGGCAACCCGGGGGGTGGGAAGCTTATAAAATTTTGAAAATTAAACAAAGGGGTTAGACATATTTCCATGAGTAAAACACACCCTCCAAAAGCAACACGTACATGGGTGTGGGTTTGTTTGAAATCCGCTGCCACCTGCTTCTGAGGGAAAATGCAGAAAAAGAGACATTTGCTTATGACGAGGGCAGCTGTCCAAAACAGCCATGGTAGGGTTAGATGCCGTAAATTTATGTTAAATTGGTGTTACGTTTGAATAGTTCAGAGAATTTTCAAAATGCAGATTAGAAGAAACTGGCAGTGGAAGTAAAAGGTATGTCATAATAACTGAACTCCCTCACATACTGGATTTATTTGTTAAAGGTTTCCAGGACCTCTACATCTTCTCCCCACCGCCCTTAAGCACTTCGCAAACTAAACTTCAAGACAATGCTGCAACTGCTACACCAGTTCTAACCCTTGGGCAATTCAGAGTAAAATGAGATGCTTTGAGTCACTCAGTGGCATACAAAGCAGTAGTTGAACTTGGAGCCAATTTGTTTCTTGAAAGAATTTCAGAAAATGGGAAATGAATGTAACTTGAACTTGGATATTTGTCCTGAAGGGTAGGAGAGGCAATGTCCTTTGTACGGCAGGGCAGGTCTCTCCAGCTGTCCGCTGCTCGGTAGGAAGCCAACTTCAGTTTTTCAGACTCAAACTACTACTTCAAAAGTTTTTTAAAGGTGTTTTAAAGGTGAGCATGTCCTCCTGTGCTGTGCTAAACCGGGCGTTTGCTGCCCAGCTAGGGTGCTGGGCTGGTGCTCCAGTGGGGATGTTCACACTAGCCCAGCGTATGTGGTTACCAGATGCTCTAACGGTGGATGAACCTCTTGTCACACAAAGGTCTTCTGCCGATACGCCAGTTATCTACATCATTGAGTAAAGAGCCACTTTATGTAGAGCTGGTGTAGGGCTGAAGTAAACGCAAGACGTTGCTTCTGTCTCGGTCCTTGACCGATGTTCTTCCCCTCAAAGATGATGTGGGTAAATCTTGAGTAATCTGCAGAATCCTCTGGTGCAAAGCTATGGAAAGACAAAGTGCAAAGGAGCCCTTTACACCTGAAAACGTCCACTTACCCCTTATCTCATGTGCATTAATGTGCATATCTTATGTACATTAAGGCCTAAATGAGGGTATGACCCACTCACGCTAGAGTTGTCACACAGGCTTTACATACAATGAAAAGATGAACCACAAATGCTTTTCTCTTAATCAAAAAAGTTTATTTTAACTACCTTGCTGTAGCAGTAAGGAAACCTTGATCGAGCAAGATATGGCTGAAAGGTGTTTGATAGATTACTGCAGAGCAGCTGACAAAAAAGGAGGAGACTGTTGCATGTTTCATATTCAAACAATGAAGCTTTCATTTGCTGCCTGGTTCACAGATGTGGTGTTGTCAAATTGCAGGAAAATGCCTGGCAGACTGTATCATTGACTATATTTAGGGAGAAAATTCAGAACACGCTGTTTATAGAAGCCACACAAATAAGCACAGAGTTCTTATCAGCCAAAGATAACATTAGTCGTGATTTATCAAAGTAATCTTTATTTTATGGAAAATGGATAATAGGGTGTAATTTAATCCTTTGTGAATGTAATGTATATTTCAAAGGGTTCTTTTTTGTCAATAAAACCATTTGTTGTACTTGCTAAACTAATTAGTCTTGTTGCTGTTGCTTATGACAGGATAAAAGATGCCCGTTAATGAAAACGAGGAGGAGAAGACGGGTTCGAAAGTTTGTGAAA